GAAGACTAGCAGTAAGCAGTCGAAACGTCGCGATCTACATCTCAAGTGACTACATCGTGAGACAAACGATAATACACTTTATTATTAATCAATTCATTATTGCATTCTTGAAACGATTAGCGGGTTCAATATTCAAATAATCAATTCATAAATGTAATCTTGAGGGGTACGCTTCACTTGGTTGACTGTAATGTTAACAAACGACAATAATAACAAACTATTTATTACATCGATTACTTTTAGCACTCTTGGCACTATAGGGTGCATTTCTTTGACATGATCCGTACCAGGAACAAGGATCCAAGATCACTCAGGGGAGCAGTGATAGCGCAGTGTTGAGAGCGCTGGCCTCCCACCAATGTGTCCCAGGTTCGATTCCCGGACCCGGCATCATATGTGGGTTGGTTTTGTTGTTGCTTCTCTGCTCTGCGCCGAAAGGTTTTCTCTGGGTATTCCGTTTTCCCCTATTAAGCCTATTAAGGCTAGGCCTATTAAGCGATAACTAATATCAAAGATTTGTAATAGCTGGTTTTCACATGACGTCACTAAAATTCGAACTACAAAACTATTGATCTTCCTGAGATTTTACTTTAATGATGTATAAGAGCAGCTGAAAACTAATACTCATACAAATTTTCGCTCCGAATGGGTTCTTGGTTTTGTGATACACTACGCTTGAATTTCTAAGCTTTTGCGTGACACGGCATTTACATGACGGCCTAGAGAGCCGTCATGATGGTTAAAAAAGTGACTTATTTCGGGGAACTTAGCTATATGAACAGTTCATCAAGTAAAGGCTCGACTTACCCATGTACCATTCGTCAGATTTCTTCCTGTATCAGTATCGTAGATAATTTTCTCTGTCAACCAGAATCCAAGCCCCATGACAAAAGCTCCCTCAACCTGACCTACATCCAGCTCAGGGTTCATGCTGATTAACAAAAGAATTCACAAAATCAACATGACAAAGTGAATGTAGAAATGCATGTGGCAAACGGCGTTAAACGTCACGTCAAACAAATTTTGATCACGACAAACAAAAACGTATTATTACTTCTTAGGTAAGGATTGTAGTCTCAAGAAAACCTCTCTGAATATGTAACTGTAGTAACTAATAGTTAACAATGTTTAAATTTGAATCCTCTCGTCCTGTTAATTTCGATGCAACGTTTCGTTATGGGCCACTCCTATTTGACAGAAATTGCTAGAGAGAGAAAGATTTTGTTAGCACTTCACCAATTTACAATTTCGAGTTCTAAAGTTAAAAGAAAGATGTCTCTAATTCAAATTACGTTCAGGGCATTTTACCTTTGTCCGCAGTCATTTAGTATGTCTGTACGTAAGATCTCCCTTTCTCCTGTCAACACGTCCAGCTCCACTTCAGTGCACGTCACTCCATAGGTGTTGTAGGCAAACAAATCTGAAGTTGTATCTACGCACCTAGGAAAGAAATTTATATGCATTAGAAAACCTTGGTAGGTAGGCAGGGATCTAACATCAATCTATTATGAATTCAAAACGTATGTACTGTCAATTTGAAATTAATGTTTGTAAATTCTATTTAAAATTTTGATTACGTATCATAGCTATTTGGTTTGGTTTTCGCTGGTTTTGGGATGCATGAATGATACTGTCACAATAAAAACGGTTATATTTAGCAAACCATTATATCCGTAAAGACCACATGCAGGCAAAGCAATTCTATAAATTAAACATGGGATCTAATGTTTTGAAATCCTGATATGAGCCAATCAGATCTCGCAGTAATACCGTGTAAATGGTAGCAGATGGGGGAAAGTTGAAAAGTCATGATTGATATCAGTAAATTGTGAGGTTGTATGACAATTATCGCCCCCTACCTACACATGGTACATGGAAGGACAGCTCGTTGAACTGTTCAAGGTAATTTTCCATCTGCTTTTAATATTTAAGTATATGTTACAATGAAACGACTTACATGTACTTAGCTGATAAGTCAACTCCGCTGTTGTAGCATTCGGCAATCAGGTCAGGCCAAGTGGCAGATGGCATTTTGGCTCTGATTGGATCAATCACTTTGTTTAACATGTCACAGCAACCAATCACAGTCTAAAGAAGAAATAACTCGCACATTACCAAGATACTAAGATCGGCACCTGCAGTTAAGTTAATATAGTTGATTACAGACCGTAATTGAACTTTCTAACTTTCATGACTTTCTTATTGCATCGCTACACAAAACACCTTACTTTTAAATAATTATTACATCAAGTACACACGTGTATAAGGGGGGTTCTGGGACACCTTTTATTTTCTAGACTCTCGGCTCTTAGAGTAGAGAAATTAAAATGTTCCCAACAGTTTAATTTCTGGAAGTACTGTAACCTAAGAGTAATCCGTAGTGTAAATACTGTAAACGACTGTTTTGTTACTAGCTTTAGCGTGCTGCATTAAAAACTAACTATATATCAAGTTGCATGATTCTGGTGGCGTAGATAGTGGTGGTGATGGTGGTGATAGAAACAGTCATGTGAGTAGTGATGTTGCTGACGGTGCTGTTGCTGCCTTTGAGGACGATGATGACGTTGAGGATGACTACTAATGTTAAGGTAAATGTAGAGTAACATGTATAGAAAAGAACCGAGGTATAACTAGTCTCGGCTTAAGAAAAACCCTGGTTGCAATAAACACACTGCAGAAGCTATAAGGGAAAATTCTTAACCAAATCCGGATATCACGAAGATTATGGTCATTCTCCCAGAAATATCAGAAATGCCTGCTCCTTGGTATTTCGTTATATCGTGGTAGACCGAGAGAAGCCGCGCGCAGAACAGCAGAGAAAGAGAGGACAGCCTTAGGTTTACGTCACGGAGCGGGGCAGCAGTGGTTGCACGTGACCGAGTGGCATGGCGAAGGACAATTTCCGGTTATTAGCCCCACGGGTTTTTGGACAAAGTAAAGTTGGCGAAGAAAGAAGGAAAGAGTGGATCTAAGTCGGTAATACAGAACTAAACCTACCTTACAACACAATTCACTCGTAATGCTGCCACCAGTGGCACCACCTGAAACGGAAACAACCATACGCTATGACACGAGATTACGGTAGAGAGACATTAAAAGTTTCACGAATAAGCACTGGAAAATCTTTAAGTGCAAGATACCAGAGGCATGGTGCTGTAATATCCCTAGAAAAAGATGCGACTTAAATAATCAAATAAGTCAAACATGGGACTGTGGGTATGAGCTGCACAGAACAGGGTTTTCGTTTGAGAGCGGAGGCCGGTCGTTGCGTCTGGTTATTTTCCACGTCATGTCCGGTATTTTGATGCCATATATTTGCAGGGATTTCAACTTAGGTGAACATGGTCTCTTACGTGAACTTATTCAAAACATTCTCTGGAGGGACTGACCCGGTCGCAACCCCTCCCCCCTCCCCCTCCTAAAACCTTGCGTCTTCGGCCCTTGAAAAATATCCGGTACCGTTTTATTTAACTGCCGAAAACTCTCGAGTCTGATCTTCTATTTTGGACAGGTATGAAAATGCTTGCTTTGATATAACACATGACACTTGTGTACCGCTCTATTGAGGAATGTAAATGATTGTTAGCGATAGTCAATATATCAGAATTCCACCTTGGCTGCGAGTTAAACGTCAATTAAACTTTATGATAATGTGAAATGTCCACTGCCTTCAGCTAACCTTTGTGAAAAGCTGATGAAGTAGTGTCCAAAAGCTCACAGTTCCGTCACGCTTCAATACTAATCTACATTTCAAAGTACCATGTACATCAGTTAATTTTAGATCGAAAACTTTGGTGCTACATCGACATAATCCGGCTGATAGCAATTTCATGAACTTTCTGCTGGTAAATGTATTGTAGAACTTAATTATGCCTGGACATAGATATTGAAACAAACTATATGCGCGCTGAGCCTGTCCTCGTGTCCCTGAGGGGCACTTACTGTTTGGATTGCTGAATGCTGAAGTTGGCTTGATGGCAATTTTATCCAGAGGACACTTCAACTTGTAAGCCGCAACTTGAGCTACCTGTGAAGATAACCAATGTTTGCGATCTGGTTAAAGCAACAAAACCCAGTCACGATCACGGTCTGCACAAGAGAGACCTTACGAACGATGTTCTCCCGGTACGGTATCAGAGCTGGGCAAGACGTTTGTTGTTTAGCTATCGTTAATTGCATTTATTATATGGCTAGCTCCGTGAGCGGGCAAGATGAATCAAATCCTGCACTGTGATTGGCTACCCGAGCGGGCAAGATGGAGCTATATTGCCCGCTCGGGACTGCCCGCCGTGTCCCGCAAGAAAAATTTCCCCGAAAGCCATATAATAAATCCTTTAATGACAAAGCTTGTTCGGTCAAGATGGCTGGATATTGGCCTCATTCTGTTTTTTGCGAGTTTATGGACCTCGAATTCGTCTCGGTCCATAAACTCGCGAAAAGAGGTCTGGGCTAATATCCAGCCATCTTGACCTCACATTTGGTCAATAACCCATATTTATTATATGGCTTTGGCTTGTGGCCGATATAACGCGCGCTCTGATTGGCTAAGAGCGAGATCTGAGCGGTCATTATGCAGNCGGATTATGCAAATTAGGAAGAGCCCGGCTCGGAAAATTCAAGCGCATTGAAGCGATGAAAACCGATTAAAAACAGTAAGAGAAAGTAAGTAGCTAAAAGTTTAGAGATTTTTTCTTAATAAAATTAATATAGAAGTCGTTTGCGACTCACCAGCCGGTAACCTTGGCGGGCACTAGTGAAAAACAATCAAAGTTTGCCGAGTTTTAAGTAAAGCTAAAATCGCTAAGTGAAAAACACCATCCGCAGATCTGTCATGCATCCTGAGCAGAACACAACAAAGAAACTTATAAGTTATCATCTTAGTCACAACAATTACAGAAATATTAAACTCCGTCACAGTTCTCATCAAATGTATTCCCTCGCTTTACACAAGCAAGGGTAAATCAGCTTCCAGGATCATCAGATGTAAACAATCAAGCGGTTTCTGTCGGTAGCAGTGTTTGTAATAACTGCAGGAAGTTTTAGACGTTCACAAGGCTTGAAAAGTTCATCCATAAATCCAGAATGAAGAAGGCGAAGACATGTTGTCGAAAGCGAATGCGGAGATCGAGTTATTCTGAGCAATGCATTCTGAAGAATTAGTATTTTGTTTCACCGAAAGACCGTCGGTTTGGACTTTTTTGAAGCACTTTCTGTCTTTTCCATGTGCGTTGACGTTTCGCCACAAAAGTCGGAAAAACTCCCTCATCAACTTGTGGCACCACGATACTAAAATACCTTTTTGAGGCTGTGACAATCACTTTTCCCGTAAAGAAATGTGTATTTTTACGGAATACGTAATACAGTGGTGAAGTTCACTGACTGTGTAGTTTTGCCCTGGGTTTGAGACGATGAATAAATCGGTAAACGCGCGCATCGCCGGATGTAAACTGACGACTTCCGCTCGAATACTTTTTTTCTTTTCGTTAATTCATGGGCCTTATAATAAACAACTTAATAACCTCGACCGTTTGGTCGNCGCGCATCGCCGGATGTAAACTGACGACTTCCGCTCGAATACTTTTTTTCTTTTCGTTAATTCATGGGCCTTATAATAAACAACTTAATAACCTCGACCGTTTGGTCGTTACGGGAAAATCTCAAACCTCGGCCTACCGTATTGTCCTCGCTATCGCTCGGTCAATACGGCAAGGTCTCAGTTTGAGATTTTCCCGTAACGACCTCACTCTCGGTTATTAAGTAGTTAGTATGAACGTGAATGCATGAAAGAGAAAAGACGGCAGTGGTCATAACCATGAACCCGCGTGTAAGAACCTACATTTTTTGAAGTTGGGCAAAATGTGTTCTTGTATTTTGGGGTAGTTATTGGCAAATTTGGCTAAGTAGGTTCTTAATTAGGTTCTTAATTAGTTTCTTCATTTCTGTGAGGGAGATATTGTTATCGATTACCAGAAAAATGAGTAAACTTGGGCTTGGTCCTTGAATATACAGTGTTTATTCAGAACTGTAGTATGTATTTCCTTGTGATACAAATTTACAATCTCAAAGTCCCACCCCTTAGTTAAAATGTTTACTATAATTTGGCTGTGACCCACATAAAACCTGCTATACTACTTTCATGTTGACCTGCTTGATCTTGCTTGACTAAAAGGTTCTTATATTTTTGGGTATTAAAATGACAAATTTCTGTCAGCAGGTTCTTAAACAACTAGATTCTTGCACGCGGGTTTTTGCTACCCTTGGGTGGAGTTTTACAGCAAAGGGAAGCCACACTTTTCTTTCCAACAGTATTGACATTAAATAAATTGTCTGATGACCTGAGTCCAATTCATGAACTGTACTCAGTCTATTATTACCTTGGTATTGATTCCCTGTCCCACTTCAATACCCCCATGAGCGATGGCTATTGTACCATCAGCGTGGTATATTGACACCATGGCAGTGAACTGGTTGCCGTCATAAGCTACTCCGTACTTGAGAGGGACAACACTGATTCCACGCTTCCGCCAACGATTATTCTGAAAGCAAGAGACGCTCAGCATCAGAACTTGAGGTAACATTTCAAACACGAAACACCATGGCTTAACACATTTTTTTTCAAACATCGAAGACAGAGTTGAAAATACCACTCGTAGGGGAGTAGTTTTGGAGAGCTTCGAGGTGTTCGAAAACGTGGTCAAACACGGTCTTGAATGTTTGATGTTCCTTCTCAATCGGAATTAAAACCAGGAGAAAATGAAGAAATAAAATCGTAAAAATCAATGTTCACTAAGATAACATATCCAAACACCGTCCACGGTCACGATTCCCTTTGTTTCAAGGAGTTACGTTACGGTTTGCACATCTTTAAAATTTTTAGCCTAAATTTTTCAGGTTCGTCGTTTGCCATACTTGATCCTTTATGCTATATCATTAGCTCTCTTTTTTGGAAAATTACTATTTCAGGTTTCCTTCAGTCTAAATTCAATTTTGTACATGGCCAAACTTAACTCAAAATTTTGTGACTGAGCTCGTTCAAACTTGATGAATTATTAATGAGTTTGAAAAGCGTTGATAAAAATGATTTCTGGGACTTAAGGTCACTAAAACCGTAGCTGTAGAGTGGAAACCACACAATTCTGGTTTTTGTCGCAATAAAAGCAAGTGACAAGAAGCTATATAGGAGTGATGATGGCCAAGGATGACAAGGATGGAAATGGATTAGAGTGACGAAAAGCTCTCGTCAACATGGAATGCTACTGGAAAATTGAACTGACTTTATCATCTTACGCCATACAACATGTGACAATTCCCTGTTAACAACACTACTTTTCATTCATGCTTGTCACGGCCTCTTGTTCTTAGTGAACCATAAACGTTTTCCCTTCTAGTTAAAGCCCCTTACATAACTCACATAACTTCGAATTGTATCAGTCACTACCTTACGAAAAGAAGGTAACGATTGGTACGTGTAAGTTCCCCAATTGTTGTTACAGTGCTCTGTACCTTATTGAAAGTGTCAATGGCATTTTTTCTGTTCTGGAAGTCACTTGAGACTAGGATGTCTAATAACATCAATAACATGATGAGAAGTGTTACAAGGAATGTCAACATTAAAGTAATATAACAGATTTTAAAGTTACCTTTTTTTATTTCGCTTTGTCTCTAATAACATCAATAACGTGATAAGAAATGTCACAAGAAATGCCATCAATAAAGTAATATAACTAATTTTAAAACTATCTTTTTTTTCATTTTGCCCTATCTCATATACCAATCAGAAAAAAATCTTAAACCAAACACAAATTTAACCCACAAGACAGCCCTCTGTCAAGGATGAAGAATTACTTTTTATCTGTACAAACTTAAATTTGACCTTAGACTCTACTCCACTTCATCAATGTTGATACCTAAGCAATACCTTAATTTGAGTATCATAGGATTTAGCCTTAGAGAACTCATTTGATTCCAACCTCAACAGTATGTACCACAGGCATTTTGCTGTCAGGAACACACGGGAAACTTACATGAATATAAATTAAACTGTTGCTTTTTTTGTTGCTAAATTTCGTACCACAAAATAGAAAAAATCTTTAGGTACACAATTACAGGCAAATAGCAAGGAAAATACCATTCCACAAAGTAGATATGCTGCAATATTTCAGCTTCTGATTCATTTGTGTTTCCTATGAAATCAATCACAACTGGCAATAAGAATCCAAAAAGTGGATGAATTTGTGTCTACTATACCACTCACTACATATCGCTCAAAATTAACTAAAAACACCTGAACTAGGCACAATTATTATTCTTTTTAGCTGAGCAGAAGTTTAATACTCGTAGTTGAAGCCGAACTACATTCAAAGTTGAGTAGAATTTCATCAGTCTGAAGTGCTTCAGAAATTTCAGCAAGTAAGATAATTAAACTAATAAAATAATGATTAAAAGTCTTTACGCAGACAGTAAAAACAAACCTGTCCATTTTTGTAGAGATTCACTTTTCTCACTTCCTCTGGTGTCATTTTCAGTTCTTTGGCAACATGTTCCATCATTGACTCCATTATGAACACTGCTTGGGTGGAGGCTAAAGGATAGAGTCACATAACGAGTACAAGCATTACTATCCACCCCACTCAGCAGAGTACACCATATTGACGGTAATTATTAAAGCCTGGTTCACACTTTTGAGATACATACAAGCGAAACATAAGCACAAGGATGTTCACATTAGCAGCATACGAATATGCATTACAGCAGGAGTTACATCGGTGTAGAAACAGGATGGCGACTGGTTGAATATTTGCACTTATGTTTGTGTTTATTTCAAGCCAGTTCACCCTTGTGAAATAAGCATCAGGCGCATAAGCCCAAGCAAAAAATAACAAAGCATTTCTTTTTCTTGTGCTCGTGCTTGTGCTTATGCTTGTGCGTTTCTCACAAGTGTGAACCAGGCTTACGAAAGTAGTAAGACTATGTGAAATATAAATCGTTAGGATGGTACTCGGGCTAGGCGTCTATGTCCACGGCCAGTATGGAGGTTAAAAAAACCATGACAACGGGAACGTCGCTAAACAAAAGGTTTATTGAATAGAACAATGGCTGTGCACGTGCGTTATAATCCTTGGTACATTTCTTTGCCGTCCTCTGTAACACAACAACGTCAAATGACCAAATTCTACGTTATCTGAAGAACGTGGACCATGACGGCCAATTTTTTAAATTTCTATTTCAAATTTACCGCTGCGTTCCACATTTAATGTTGGGATAGTTTTGGCAGAGATAAACAAATAATGACTTAAGAGTACCTCGAGATTCGTCAGTTATATATCAAAAATCATTTTTTAAACGACGTTCTCCTCGGCGTCGCCGTCGTGGTTGCTATACCCCCTAGTAATCCACTGGTACGTAATGGACACTGTGTTTAATTCTAGTCACTTCCGATGAGAGTAAACGGCTCAGAAGGATTGAAATGGACAGANGCTTGTGCTTATGCTTGTGCGTTTCTCACAAGTGTGAACCAGGCTTACGAAAGTAGTAAGACTATGTGAAGTATGAATCGTTAGGATGGTACTCGGGCTAGGCGTCTATGCCCACGGCCAGTATGGAGGTTAATAAAACCATGACAACGGGAACGTCGCTAAAAAAAAGGTTTATTGAGTAGAACAATGGCTGTGCACGCGCGTTATAATCCTTGGTACATTTCTTTACCGTCCTCTGTAACACAACAACGTTAAATGACCAAATTCTACGTTATCTGGAGAACGTGAACCACGACGGCCAATTTTTTAAATTTCTATTTCAAATTTATCGCTGTGTTCCACATTTAATGTTGGGATAGTTTTGACAGAGATAAACAAATAAATGACTTAAGAGTACCTCGAGATTCGTAAGTTAAATATCAAAAATCATTTTTTAAACGACGTTCTCCGCGGCGTTGCCGTTGTGGTTGCTATACTCCCTAGTAATCCACTGGTACGTAATGGACACTGTGTTTAATTCTAGTCACTTCCGATGAGAGTAAACGGCTCAGAAGGATTGAAATGGACAGTGAAGCCATTGAAGAAAAATCGTCTTAATCTGAAATTCAGAATATGAATGATTTTAAGACTAATTGCCTACCTGGCGCACGGCACCAAGTGTTTCCAGCAGTGTGAGTGTGCGTAGCATATGGCACAATATTCCAGTTGTCACAAAAGTAAGCTAGAAATAACACAGAATATCATCAACTNCAATTCCATGTTAGTGTTCAAAGTCATCCTCATGCGAACTGGCCTGTAATTGTAAAACCATGATACAGGAAAAACATTGACTCTTTTGAAATAAGTAGTTTGCTTTTTCATTTCTCTTTACATAACCATAATGACCAAGCTTTGACAAATTTTCAACATGCTCCTACACTCGTACCCACCCGCAGTTATAATTGCAGACAACAAAGGTAAAGGGAACAAGTACTAATGCTTACTGCTTCCAAGAGAAATTACTTAGTTGTTGATTACTAAAAAATCAGCGCTTAGTTGTCGACAACTCGTCTCACACACTACGTTTTTTTAGTTGTCGATAACATTTAGATGCCGACAACTAAATATCTCGTCTTTGAAGGGCTTAAGGCATTCTAAGTATGCAGAAGTAGATATACGTATTCTAACCCTGTTTCATCGTGCACCATCGTTTTAAGTGTCTCTAATGGATATTTTATTTATTTTGCGTCAATCAGCCTAAAGCTCCATCACAAACCCTACATTTTGACAAGAGGTGTCTGAAATAACTATGGAATATACCGTTATTTCAGTCAGGTGTTGTTAAACAAGTTGGTCTTTGTACCTCTTCGTGACATAAGCAGCTACTGCACACGCTGTACCGACTTGATTGACCCTGGTGATCCTGGCTCCATAAGCACCACCGCATCTCTTCACACCCATATTAACACTTTACAAACAACAATTTAAAAAAAAAATAGAATAACCACGGTCAGAAAGGAACATAACGGCCCATCTTTGGAAACAAAAGCTAACAAGACAACATGTAAGTAACTTGCACATGTATAAGAGATGAAAACATCTCACTCAAATACTGATTTTTTTTTTTTTTAGTTTCTCCACTTAGGATATTATATCTACAGTAAAAGTGTTGTTTCTTTGAGGCGTTAGTTACCTTTGTGACTTGTAATATGCGTGAAAAGAATGCTGAGTAGTTACTTATGTGATTTGTAATATGCGTGAAAGGAATGCTGAATGAGGGATGACGAATGGATCGAGTGAAAAAAAATAAGGTAGTACACAGGTCACATTAATGAGCTGTAAACCCCAGCATAGAGGCAATCTGTAATATCAATAGACAATACGCACTCTGTAATTTTGATACAGAATACACATGCTGTAATTTTGATACGGAAAGGAACCAACTGATTACATCAATAAATTGTTTTTAAGATTAACATCTTCCTTTTAAAAGTTCGGTTTCGGCTCGCCATTGTTAACACGCACAAGGATTTGGCACGAACATTATATCACGTAAAGACATGTCAACCTGTGAGCAAGGGACATCATTTAATTGATCTTAGGCTTAAACACTAAAGCAATTTCAAACTCAAGTCCGACACAATATTTGCATCCGATCTGCAAGGCTTTCAACTCGCCATTGTAAAAAAACCCTATATAGATTGGCCGCAAAACATTTATCTATCACGTAAATACACGATGAACCAACCTTTGAGCGGGGTAATTCAGAGTCTGTGCTATAGCTGCTTGAGTGAAATCAACCCACTGAGTTGGACAGTGTACAGTCATTCCATCATCTTCTGGGATACACAGTGCCACCTGTTAAATCGATAGTTGAACAGAAAACTAGTCAGAAAATATTCAAACATGCGAGAAACATCTTGACAAACAGAAAAATACACCCGACAATGAATGACTTCATTCGCAGGTTTTTATTCTTGTATTCTGCAACTTAGACGTAGCAGGCCTTGTAAGCCACGATATATTTGACAATTATTCCACGAGCGTGCGTTGGATATGAGAAGGTAGATAGCATGGTAGAGCATGACATAAGGACTCATAACCCGTCATGGCTAAGCCAATGAAAACTCTCGAATTGCATTACCCAGAGATCCAGATTCATTTACTTCTATCTATAAGTATTCATTGCTTATTTTTCCCCACGGCTACACAGATCCACTCGGCTATCGCCTGGTACTTTGACAATGTCATGATGACATTCATGTTCAATAACAGGACAGACACATGAAAAACTGACGTCAATTTGTTAATTTCCCACCCTCAAAATAATAGAACTGACGCGTAACGGAACCCTCAAGAAGGAAAACAGCATAAGTTGAAGTATTTGTATGTAAGGTGCTTCATAACAGTTTATCCCCAAATTACAACGTTAGAGTATCAGAGCAGTTTTAAACTGGGTGTTGTAAAACAAAAACCAAACTTATCACTTTGGCCAATCACAAAGGACACAGAGCATCCAATGAACCAATCAAAACTTGAAACAAATACATGTGGCTGACGCGAAGTGTGCGCGGGAAAACTTGTGCGAGCGAGTCATGGTTGGTTTTGTTTTACTTCTGATAAGTAATAGTAATTGGACCGAGTGGAGTACAATTCAGGGAGTAATCGCGCGAGTAATTTCAAAATCGGACGAGTGCGAAGTGCGAGGCCGATTTGAAATAACGAGCACGATTACTCCCTGAATTGTACGACATAAGGTTCAATTACTAATTAATCGTATCTATAACAAATTTTGGAATTAAAAATGTCTTTCAGTTGGGAAGGCTTTTTTTGAGCGAAAACGTCTGTAGCGCTTTTCACAAGAGTTGAAAACTGTAGGAAACATTGCGTGAAAATCACGTGGGTATCCAATTATAGGTATCCAATTACACAAAGTTCAAATTGGGTACCTGTAATTGGACACCCACGCGATCGCGCACCGATTACGTGACAAATAGGCGCGCGGAAAACTAATCACGACTGAGAATTTTGTTATAGATAGGATTAGATGACAAAGCAGCAACAGTTATTTAAGCCAATCGCCAACGATTAATGTTTGTTGTATAAGTTAAAAAATGTTTCACACCTGTGTTTCCATGTGGAAGTGGTACTGATGTCCAGTAGATACGGCACCCTGAACAACATGTGGTGAATTTTTAATTGCAGCTAATTGAAAAACAAAGAACAGGATTTGATAAAAATGTACACAACTGTCAGCGCTGTGAGAGACAGAGCAGAGTGGAGAACACGGGTCGATGGCCTATTACATACATACATACATACATACATACATACATACATACATACATACATACATACATACATACATACATACATACATACATACATACATACATACANTGGAGAACACGGGTCGATGGCCTATTCTCCCAGAGGAGAAAGGAAATTAGTCACTAAACGCTACAACAGACAAACTTCCTATCCAGAGAGAGTATCAATTCCTTTAGCTGCTTCACGCTACAGTCAAAGGTAGAATGATGTACTAGGAGACGAATAAGGCTTTAACATGTAAGAGCAAGACATCTTAAGAGCTCTCAACTGGTGATTATACTCACTGTCTGGGTCGCCCTTCTTCAACGTTTTAGCTTGAGGATCAAAGAATGACTTGGCCGCTACAGCTTCGTCAATGGTCAGCAGAAGAGGCCCCTGGTCTTTGTAAGTCACCTTCACGGCTTTAACCGCTTCATCTGCGTGACGCTGAGTATCTGTGGTGAGAAGATAAAAAAATATTCTCCAAAAAGTTCAATGGTACATTTATACTGGGTTAGTACCGCCAAGGTTTGCACACTAAGAATGATGGGGAAAGATAGAGCCAGAATAACAACAATAACAACAACAAAGGGTAATGAAGAACTTCTTGTTGTTGTTGTTGTTGTTGTTGTTCATTGGGATAGGATTCACGGGTCAAAACTAGAAAGACGATTCAAAATGAACCCATAGACAGAAATTATAATGAGCCACAATGATGACGGATTTTTCACTAGCCATCTTATTTTAGACATGAGTTACAATCAAGGATACAACTGCAGTATACACTGCTCCCATCCCCTATTTAATATCAACGTCATTAGGGAGATAAGTTTGACAATGAATACATCAAATAAATAACGTGTGAGAACTCTGGGTAAACAATTCAAAGAGGAAAAGATCTTTGCAGTTCTACAGAACCTTTGTCAGTTTCAAAGGAAAGGTTAACAATCTTTGTTTATTTCTGAGGCAACAAGGTCTTTGTGCCATGATGAACCATAGTAAGTTATAAGTTAGCAATTAGATTATTCGCTCCTGATTTCTATCATGTTATAGTTGACGAGGGTACAGCCCGAGCCAACTTTGACGCGTATAAATCGAGAGCGAACAATCTATATCTACCAGTCGTTCAAAACTTAACTAGTAAATTATTTCAGTCTTCTTCAGAGACACTTCGAAAACGTAGAGAAGCGGCCGCCATTTTGTTCGCAAGCGCACATTACTAGGCTACTCACTTAAAACAGAGTAGACATTAAGTAACATAGCCAATAAGAGAAGGGCATTCGTAATACACCGTTAGTAGATTTACACTTATAATATTAAACTAGTAATGAAATGCAATGCACCTGCAACTATGATACCCAATGCCTGACCGGCATATGCAACATCCCCACTGCAAAATATCTGTTATAGATAAAACAAAAAAAATTCTTGTTACTTTTGCAGCTAAACTACTCGCAAGTCAAAGCCCCTTTGGAGTACATGTAACATCCAGATTTATCTTCTAGCGAAGATGTATAAAATATGATTTAGGTCATTACAAAAACGGCACTAGAAGGAGATTTCAAATTTATCAAACATGTTTTGTTTTATCAACATGTTTTGTTTTAATATGTTTTTGTCTTATCAAACATGTTTTGTTTTATCAAACATGTTTTCTTTAATACTTCCAGAACACACAAACAATTGCGAGGAAGGGAAGGAAGTCTGTTACAATGTTTGCCTGCTAAATTGCTACTAAATGTTAACGTGCTTAAAAGTAGCCTCTTCCAGGCGACCACACAAGCAGTGACTTTAAAGACGTTTCACAACATTGACTTTAACTTTAACTTAAATTAATGTAATTTCCTTAAATTTACTTAATGTGATCGACCACATCATAATATCCTAGACTGTTGGCAGCTGGTCTTTTCTCCTAGGGTCAGAAGGGTGTTTATCATGAAGACAAACGCAAAAGCGCGGAACAGACGAAAAGGGGTTGGGGCGAGACGAGAGTGAGTGCCACGAGTAAGTGCCGCAGCCATGTCTCGTACCAGTCCCTTCTACAGTCTCGAACGTCTCGCCCCATACTCCCTGCCTGAATTCCAGAGAAAAACAGCATTCTAGCAGTCTAAATATTTCCGAGAATATCGCACACAGCTTTGTTAATGGTTTGGGCGAGCAGAATCTGTCGCTTGTCTTCAATGATCTTACATGTGAGAGTCACCCTGATAGGGACTGTTGCTGGTGACTGACATTTTGACCACCTGGGAGGAGGCTTCACTCAGGTAGCCGAGATGTCAGTCCTCAAGATAATTCCTATTTAGTTCTACCCTCAGTTGGACGGCCACTGTAGATGAACTGACTACAACAGTTTTAACAGACAGATAACAAGCTTGGCTCTTACCTCTTCCTCTGCAAAACCAAAAGACGTTGGCATGAAATTGTTGACACCCCCTTTAGGAATGTCTTCTACTGTGATGTACTTGATGACTCCTGGCATTTTCTACAGCAAATAAATCAACAAAATGCATAACTATTCTATTTACAGCAATAACTGCTTTAAACTCCACCACATGGGTTGGCCTAAGAATGATAGACATCCATCTTTGCTTTGTCAATGAACAGTGGAACAAACATGTCATGAGAAAAACGAAAATCATCAACTACAATGCAAGAGAAATTGCCTTCACATAGCAACAATAATTTCCCTAAAAACTCTATTAAGATCTCCCCCAGTTTGNCCTATTTCACGTAAAATAACAGTTGGGATATGCTTCACCATTGTTTAGTACCACATTTTAACAATTTCAGTGGCTGAACAACTTTGAGATCATAAGGTAACTATGTTTTTGCCTCAGTCTATAATTTGTCATGATTGACCATCTAGGAAAAGGGAGGGGACTTATTAATGAACATGAGGTTCTAGAGGGTAGGACTTCTTAATTAAACTTTACCTACATTACAACAGTTATTATCAGAAGCTTTTTATTTTATGATATTGTACTTACAAGGGCTTCTGATGAATCAAGGGAATCAAGCTTGCAGTTTCCCTTCAAATTAAACAGATGTACATCATTCTGGTCAGCAGAGCCACTAATGATTCACCTTTTTGAAGTAACTGTAAGTTTATATTTCCACAATACTTCTACAAGCAAGTTCCCTCCAGATTTATTATTTTTATTAAGATATTTCAATAAACAGCCACTATCACAGCAATTTTGTTACATTCTATGTGTAATTGGTACAATATTACGACTCAATATTACAATATTACATGTAACTGAATTGTGGAAGGGAAAGCAAATTCTATTCTATTCTACTTAAGCTATTTTTCAAAGACAATGGACAGCATTTAAAAACATCTGCCCACCTTTCTCCATTGAGATCAAACCTTATGCATGTGTAACTCAAGATAACATCCCATTTCTGGCTTCATAGCATTAGTATAACAGTTATTCTGAACAAAAATTAAGGCATTATTGGGGCTCCGTCAGTATAAATGTTTTTACTGTGCCTTTCAATAACATGCGGACTCTAAAATTCAAAGCTCAACCGACAAATGCATTTTTTGCTACTGTCAATCAAATGTTCGCTGGCTCCTCTAAACTTCTGATTACTGCCAAGCGTGTGGTAATAAAATCATTAAGCACAGTTCAGATAACAAAACAGTGCTCGGCGGTAGTCAGAAGCTGGGAGGAGCCACCAAACATTTGATTGACTGTAGCGAAAAACACATTTGTCGGTTGAACTTTGAATTTTAGAGTCCGGATGTTATTGAAAGGTGCAGTAAATGACAACTCCACTTAAATGTCCATACCTGTGTGCTCACTACGAAGGAAGCATAGAGTTCACCACCTTGAATGGGAATATCAGAAACATACTGAGCTTCACCAGAAGTCTGAAGAAAAAGACAAAGATGAAAGTCAGATTATTTCATTAAGTATCTTCTCAAACGACATGTACAACATTTCCAAATAAAAAAAATAATTAACAAGCAAAATAGCTCAGCTTCCTCCTCACAGAATACTCATTTTCAAATTTAGGGGAAAATTGCATATTTATTACTGGAATTGTATCACAGAACACCAGTCAAAATAATAACTATTTGCTGCTAGAAAATTTTAATGAATGAAATTAACAATCAAAGCCTGTACTTATTTATACTTAACATTTCAGAAGCTTGAAATCTCAATTCACAGTCCTGTGACAGTTTTATAATACCTGGAGCTTAGCAGCCAGTTTTGTCATAGGTTTTGTTAGCGGGTATTCACTGGATTGCGTGTCATAACTCTGTGTGCCAGACGAGACAGGACGAATGAATGGCTCTGCAGCTGACTTGACCCGTGCTGATGCCTTGTCACCCAGAACAGTCAAGTAAAACTAAAACAAAGCAATATATAAATATCAATTATTCTCATTTTGTACAAATCTTATCAACCAAGTGCAAGGGTCATAAGAATATCAACTCTAGGTCTGGAAAGAACAGAATTAGGGAAACCAGGTCTGCAAAATGAGTGAAGCCAGATCCATGCTGAAAAACTTTGGAGTCAGGTTGCAGCTCTCTTAAGGTCTTCCATGAATGGCTTGAAACTCTTTGAGAGGACAATAGAACAAACAACACAAACAATGCCCCCGAGCCTCAAAACAATAACAGTTGCTGCAGTGACGACAAATAGAATTACAAGCTTATGAGAGCTGCTATACTATTGAAACTTTGGGCCAGCTAGTATTTCCCACCTAAGGTCCTGAGCAAGCTTCAATGATTAATCAGTGATTTAGTAAAATAAGGTGTTTCTAAGGCTTAACCACACCGGAGACACTTTCTCAGTACCTTGTAAAACAAGCTAAGAGCCAGAGATTTGCGATATTCTTTGCTTGCACTCGCAGGAGGTGAATCAGGAACAATTTCCTGTTCAAGAGTAGACAGGGCACCTGAAACGAAAAATAGGAAAATAAGTCCTTTAGTTAATCTTCACGAAAGGAAGGTGTGTAAGTACACCCAAGGAAATAAAAAAAATGGTTATATTACTAATCCAAGTGTCCAAGTGTCAAATTTAAAACCATTCAGTTTACAAAGTAAGGAAAACTAACGAAATGTTGAACTATCACCCTAAAGAACTTGGCTGACAACTGATAACAATCACATTCCTGGACCGTTTGTCACTGTTGTATTTGCTGCTGCTGCTGTTGTTGTTGTTGTTGTTGTTGTTGTTGTTGTTGTTGTTGTTGTTGTTGTTGCTGTTGTTGTTGTTGTTGGGGGCAAGAATTGTGATGCTCCACAACTGATGTATTTTTTTGTGTCAGTGCTGGTATAGACACAACATTAGTTTTTGTACAGTTTTGTCTTCCTTATTAATTGTGATTTTTTACAGTTATTAAGTGTCAACAATACAATTATGTCACAAACTCTGACCTGGATGACACCTTTAGAAGAGGATGTTGACATTACAGTCGCAACCCCAGTTAAATATTTTATGTGGTGAAAGGTATATAATATGCTCCAAGTGATATATCTATTGACAAGAACAATCACCTTTAAGAGTGTCCAGGTCAGTTAGCTTTTTACCAGCCAAGAACGTTTCTGTTTTGGCAGCATGCATCTACGGTACGAAAAAAATACATTTTTTATTATACATAATTACGCTGTGGGACTGTTATAAGTGACACTATAAAGGGGGAACCCAGTGTAATGTGATTTGAAGCTAACAGAACTTCCTATAGTACTTCTAAGTGATAGTAAATTGAAACCCAAGGCAAAGTACTGGGAGTAACTACTCAGTATCAGAGGGTACTTGTGTGTATAAACATTTTCAGCTTTATAATAAAATACAGGGGCTGGATTGGGTGGCTAGCCACACCCTTTTGAAGAAGCAAAAGCTTAAAAAAGTGAAAAAGATTGTTCATACTATGGCAGAAATAAAGGCAAACACACTGGACAGGTACCTCCTTGTAATTACAAGTAATTCTTTTTCTCACTAAAATAGCCATGGCATTGCTAGTATTTCTGGTGCAGCAGTTTTCAGTTCCCAAATTGCCACATTTTGGGGGCATGCCCCTTTGATTCTACAACACAAGGTACCAACCGCCCCCTTCCCCCTTGAAAAATCCTGGATCCGCCCTTTCAATGCCTGATGTCATTTAAACCACAACCAAGACCCTGAGTCGTGGACAACAGAAACCTGGAGACTAATCCATGGACAAACACAGGAAAAATAAGGCCATACCCATTAATCAACTGTTGGACATTCGGACAGCTCTTAAATGCCACTTAATATTCAGTAAAAAGAGATAACAAAGGTGCTTACTACATGTGGTTCTATTCCACCATAGACAATCCTTGCAATATTCACAGTCATGATGCTCTTGTCAACCTTGGCTACAAACCCAGCATTCACATAAGCATGGGCATTCTAAAAGAAGGATATCAATGAAAAATTCAATTTTAACTAATTTGTCCAAATGGAAAAAAGCAAGCCTATTTCCTGAAGGAAACCAGTGCTTTATAAGCTGCTCTCAAGGATGTTTACAATGACAGTTGAACCTCCCCTTGCAGACACCTCTACAACACAGACACCTTTATATTATGGACAACAGTTCACTTAATCCTGGGAAACGAGAATTCAGTCGACATGTGTAATCTCTACCTCTATACTATAATCCAGCCTCCTCCATAATACAGATACTCAGGTTTGCCCCTTGCTGCCAGGTACTAAGAAATTTGACTCCATTTCATTCAAATTCAGAATTTGCACAGACTGGAGCCAGCTCTGCCTTGAAAATGCTATTTTAAAACAGCTTTTTCTTTTGAGTGAGGAATTTAAAGGAAAAAAAATAGGGTCAGGAGGAAGAGACATTACATGTGATTAATAAAAAGAAAGCTTTCAGCAGAGCAGTAATTCCACCTTATCAAATCTTTCAGTTTTTTTTTTAATCGTCTCCCTAAACCATGAAAATGTGTCAAAGAAACTATTTATTACAATATGAATGCCAAGCAAAGCATTTTGTTATGTGTTTGCTTACTTGGGCTCTTGGCATGACTTTGTAGGTGCAAATGACGCAGTCACTTGAAAACACGGGTAACAAGACAGCCAGGATTACCTAGCAAGTATTAAAACATACAGTTAAAAACTTAACTTAAAATCAATTCATCAACATTTTAAGAACTAACATGTCTTACAGTGTACTTTCTTCTTATGATCAATGACACAACTGTATATCCCATACTCAGTCTACAGTACATCTAAAGCGTGTTACACAAATTTAAGTTACAGTAAAATGTCTGTCTTTTAGTCTATAGGATTCTAGAATAAGATTATACTTATGCAAATGCTGTAATCTGAGTGGCTGAGCCCTCGTACACTATCAGCCATTAGTATCACCCAACTAGTGGACTAATACAAATCCTGCATTTTGATTGGCTACACTACTAGGGGACTATTAGTAATAGTCATC